TCACCCTAAATCTTTCTTTAGTTTCATCTGGTTTCGGTTCTCTTCCTCTCTCCAGATCTTAATCTCTGTCTCACCTCTCCAACCTATTCTTAAAATGATTTTTATTACTTATTTATTGTGCTCCTATTGCTCTTCCCACGAGTCAGGAGGCCCAAGGTCCATTTATGACTTGCTTACTGATACTTAACTGCGCAGCTCAGCTTTTTGTGTCTTAAATTTGAAGAATATGTATTTCATGGAAACTAATCAACACCCAAAAGACTACAGCAACGTAAAAACTTTGTTATGCTTTTGTCTTACGAGACGTCTTTAGGCCTTAGAAAATGATAAAAATACAGTGCAGTTAACTGTTTCGTTGAATGGTGTATAGTAGATTCTTACCAAGCTGTCCAGAAAGAATCATGTCCTATTCTGATCTCTGTATATGAGATTTGCACTGAGGACAGCTTGTCCCTCCAGAGCTTGGTAACAAGGGTAGGATTAGGGATCGAGAGTCAGACCATATTCTGTTACCCACACGATAACTGGCATTAGGTTCTGCAGAAAAGTATGTGTAGGTGCCTTCTCCTCTCCTGTGATAGTTTCCTCAGGCCTTAGTCTTTAATTGGCTTCTAGTAGGAGCTGAGTGATAGTGGGTAACTCATACTTAACCTGTGGGCCTCCAGGCTTTGTTTCCACTTCTAGCAATACACACAATGTAGTGCCCCCCCAACCTACTATTAAAATGTCTTAATTACCTCTGACATTTGTTGGAAGAAAGATGTAGCGTGCCCATCTCGGTATGAGGGAGGAAAGAGTGGAGATCCAGAATCTTGCCGTTTCTGGTTCTTCAGAATAAAGTTTTTAGGAGGTCACCACTTTAATCACAGGCTTACAACCACTGCAAAATACTAACATTTACAAATTGATGTGAGATACCCTTTACATCAGAAAAAGTATCACCGCTGAATGTCAGAGCAATCCGAGGCATTACATGAGACTTGATACATTTAGAGATAGGGCATTACCAAAAACGAATCAAAATACTATTCGCAGTGAACTGTTGTTGATCTTGTTTTCCAGTATGAAGACTAAAACTTATTGTCAAAAGAGCAGCTACTGTAATAGTAATTTTTTTTCCTCTTCTTGCTCTCTCCCTTCAGGTTAATGCAGTCATCTGTGGAATCAGTTTGGAATATGGCATTTGACTTCATTCTTGACAATGTTCAGGTAGTTTTACAACAAACTTATGGAAGCACATTAAAAGTTATCTGAACGTGTAGTAAAGAGCTTGATGAGAGCCTGGAGCTCTCTGCTAGCTGTGCCATAAGTGCTTGTGAGGTATTTGCAAAGTGCATGATAGTAAAGCCCTGAGTTTTTATAATTTCAAATTTCTTTTTAAACAACAAAGTGTTTTGTACATTTCTTTTCAGAAAGTGCCAAATTTGTCAGTATTGCATGTAAATAATTGTGTTAAAATTCTTTTATTGTAGTATAGAATCTATTTACAAAATGTTTGTTTATAAAGTTTTATGGATTTTTACAGTGAAGTGTTTACAGTTGTTTAATAAAGAACTGTATGTATATTTTTGTACTCATTCTATTTTGTCATGCTTCAGTCTGAATATAGCTAACCCCTTTTATTAAAGCTGTAGCTTTGACTCATTTTACTAAGTAAGTTCTACACGATGACACTGTGTCAACATTTGTAGGAGTCTCTGCTGTACGTTCATCTGGCTACACTTTGTGTCTTGCTCCACTGCCTTTAGTACAGATCTAAAGCCAAGGGAAGAGTATTAGCTCATTCTCTGTTTCATTCTTCAGGGACTGAAACCTGTGTGGCCCAGCCACTCCCAAAGCACAGTGTTAGCTGAAGCATAATTGCTCTCTGGAATCCCAGCTCTGCGTATTCAGGTATACAGTTATCTCTGGAGATGTGTGCTGATAGAAGAAAACAAATTTTCAAAACAAATACTTTTATATATCTTATCTCAATTAATTTGTCTCAAGTTTCCACTAGTTAGTTATTGCTTTGGTCTTTCACAGCACTTTCTTTTGACCACTTCTTTTGAGGGTGGTGTTGTATTTTTAGACTAGCATGCTAACGGCTCAAATAAATAGAGAAATATTTACTGAATTTCAGTGAAGTGTTTCAGTTAGTTAGGTTTCAGATGCATAACTCAGGTGTTGGGAGTGCTGCTCAGGGTTTAATTGAAACTAACAAAGGTCTGTCTTGGATGGTGATCAGAGGAGGTTCTAGAGGAGTGGAAGAGAGCAAGTATCACCCCATCTTCAAAAGGGCAAGGAGGAGGCTCTGGGGAGCTACAGGCTGGTTGGTCAGCCTCACCTCAGTCCAGGGGAAGGTGATGGAACAGCTAATCCTGGACAGCGTTTCCAGGAAATGGAAGGAGAGGAAGGTGACTGGGAAGTAGCCAGCATGGCTTTATGAAGGGGAAATCATACTTAACAAACCTCATACCCTTCTGTGATGAGATGACTGGTTTGGTGGCTGAGGGGAGAGCAGTAGCTGCTGTTTCCCTTGTCTCCCATACCATCCTTGTAGACAAGCTGATGAAGCACAGGCTAGAAAAGTGAACAGTGGCATGGACTGAAAACTGGCTGAACTACTAGGCTCAGAGGGTTGTGATTAGTACCAGAGAGTCCAGCTGGAGGTGGGTCACTAGTGGCATCTGCCAGGGGTTGATACTGGGGCCAGTACTGCTTAATAAATATCTTTCTTTACTAGTAACCTGGATGACAGGACCAAATACACCCTCAGTGAGTTTGCTGAGGACACAAAACTGGGAGGAGTAACTGACACCCCAGAGGGCTGTGCTGTCATTCAGAGGGACCTTGATGGGCTGGAGAGGTTATGATGTTCAGCAAAGGCAAGTCATGCACCTAGGGAGGAATAACCCTGTGCACCAGTACATATTGGGGGGGGGGTTGGGACGGGGCAATGAGCTCAAGAGCAGCACTGCAGAGAAGCAGCAGTGTGCCCTCATGGCAGAGGAGGCTGACAGCAGCATCCTGGGCTGCATTAGGCAGAGCAGTGCCTGCAGGTCAAGGGAGGTGCACCTGCCCTTTACCCACCCCTGGGGAGGCCACAGCTGTAGTACTGGGCTCCACAATGCAAAAAAAAAAAAAAAAAAAGATGTGGACCTACTGGAGCAAGTCCAGCAAAAGGTCACAAAGATGATTAAGGGACTGGGGTACCCATCACAGGAGAAGATGCTGAGAGAGAGAGCTGAAATTCTTCAACCTACAGAAAAGAGAAGGCTCAGGGGGAAAAAAAAATCTCATCAAGATGTATAAATACTTGATGGGAGGGGGTTAAGAAAAACAGAGCCAGACTCTTCTCAGTGGCACTCTGCAACAGGACAAGAGGAAGTGGGGCACAAACTGAAACAGGAACTTCCCTCTGAACACAAGGAAACACCTTTTTTTTTTTTTTTTACTGTGACAGTGGTTGGTTGAACACTTGAACAGGCTGCCCCCAGAGGTTGTGGAGTCTCCATCCTTGGACGCACAGAAAACCCAACAACTGGGCATGTTCCTGGGCAGCCGGCTCTCAGCGACCCTGCTTGAGTGAGGGTGGGGGATGGAGTAAATGATCTCAGAGGTCCCTTCCAGACTTAACTAACTAACACACAATTTGGTGATCCTAAAAGGAGAAAGGGGGGAAAAAAAAACACACCCACACACACAACACCCTTAAAGCATTATTTAACTGCACAAACCAGAATGTTACAGGCTATTTATAGTTAGGTATTTTCATTCTCCCTTAGTGATCTGTTTCCAGCCTCATATTTTATTCATGTTCTCTCTTCCCTAAAACTGTCTAGTGAAGGTATTTTGCAAGTTTCACAACAGCAACACTCCTCTTTCAGAAATATCACTCCGAGAAACAAGAAGAATACAGCACGACCAGTCTTTGACATCTATGTTCTTAACTTAAGAACTCTTTTTATTAGTGTAGCTTCCATGATTGCATAGTTTGCAAAAGAAAATTATAACAATTAAATGCAGTCTCCTCCCTTTGACACTCAAGACCATTCTATTCCAAATCACTGACATGCCCAGTGATGTGAATTTGCACCACACAAACCATTCCAAAAAAACCCATCCTTTCCAATGGTATGTTTAAAGTCTAACAAACAAAAGTTTCTTGGTAAGTTTAAATTCCATTGCCAAAGGAGGCCACAGTCATAAAGCATTTGTGATACAGTCCAACATACAGTCTGGATTTAAAAAAAAAGTGGGGGTGTTTTTGAACACAGAAATGTGAATGACAAATCTGATCAGATCCAACAGCTTATTTCAAGTTAAATTTTTATAAGTAGTATTTTAAATACTAAAATTTCAGCTACATGAGAGATCATCGGTTTTATTTCAGTTTGTGCTTTTCACAAGTATTTGTTTGGCTCCTCAACACATGAATTTAAAATTACTAGGAGACCACCTGATTAAAAATACATCAAGCTGTCAGCTCAAGCAGGGCCCCAAGAGGGAAGGAAGGATAGGAAAATACTGGAATTAGACTGACTTTTGGTTATCACAGACACCATTTACCAAATGCATTCTGAACTGGTTCAGTCCCATGATGTTAGATGACTCAACAGCTTTGATGCAGCATTCAAAGTCACAGCTTACTTGCAGACAGTCGGTCATTTTTGCACATGCTTACCCACAACTCTGAAAAGAAAACAGACACTACATCTAAACTCCTCCTAGCAGCAACCCCCTGCTAATTCTGACTTGCTAAAAACCTGGCCTGCACCTCCAGTACATCTAGAACATGACAAGCAAGATGTGAGCCACTGAAATCACCGCTGAGAGCAGCAGCGTGTGCTCCAAGGGAAGTGAAGCAAAAAGAAAAAATGCTTTTGCTGGAATGTGTATTCCATTACTTTGTCAAGCCCAGAGAGGCAAGCTGCAGCCTGGCACCTCCACGTTCTGTAACAGCCCATAAAGTGACACTTTGTTTACTGAAGCAAACTATAAAACAAATGGGCCACTATGTCCATCTCCTTTATTTGCAGCTCTGCATTATAATGATTACAGGTCGACTTTCATGAACTGTACAAGCAATAAAAGGCGGCCAACTATGCTTTACATCATTGTTTCACACAAAGCAAATACAGAAATATCCAATTGCCTAATTTTCTATTTAAAAAAATTTCTATAGGCACAAAGCAGAAGAATGTTGGAAAAGAGAGTCAAGGGAAGAGGTATGCATAAATAAAGAAGTACTTCTTACATCAAAAATGTCCCAAGAATCACAAAGTCTGCAGAAGCTTGGTTAATCAAATACTGCAGTACTGATTTCATCAGTATAAAAGTGAAAGTTTTAGTTCTGTAATAAAAATTCAAATTTATTTTATTTTATTTTAGAGGGCGGGGGGAAAGGGTAGAAGGAAGGTGTAAGAGAAGGAAGGGCAAACTTTAAAACAGCAGCCAGTATTAGGAAGGGCAGTGGGAGAGGTGAACAGGCACATTGGAACCGTGGGAACATGTAAATTGACCACTGTCAAACCAGTGTAAATTTCTTGGTTTCTCATGGAAAACATTTTATCCACATATTTTCCTCTCAAACATAAATCCAACACTGTCTTCAATATATGACTTTGTTGGTGACTTTTAGAACAGGAATAGGGAGTTTATTCCTGCCATTCCATTGCTGTAAAAAGTTATCTAGATGATTTCAAACACTTTCTTCAGCTCTACGATAAGCTGCCAGTCAGACTTCTGCATTTCATCTCTGAACCAGTCCTTCAGAGCATCGATGGACTGACGACTGATCTGTAATACACAACACAAACCCATCAGAAACATATACGTGTACTAATAAAGGTAGTTTTCAGTGTGCTGGAAGCAGTTAATTTAATCAAAGGGCAATGATCTGCACATCAGGAAAGGTAGTCCTAATTCCAGTTTTACTACTGATCTGCATAACCCATCTCACCCATTTCTGTTCATTTCTCCTCATGTCCTTTACCTGGTCTGCAGTGACTGCAGAAGCACAGATCATCCCACTCCTTGCACAGTGATGCGAGAGCCTGTGACCAGGAGGGAACTCCTGTTTCCCCCAGTGCCAAGCATCACTGGCACCACCTTGCAGCATTGTCACAGGTCCTAGACCTCCAACTGAAAAGCAGCTGTGCCCCCCCCCCCTTCCCCATTACACATGGGGACATGCCCTTAGTGGGAAAAAACAGGTCTTACTGCATGGTAAATAAAGCAGCTTTAAGAACCTGACGAGCTATGGCTTTGCCTCTGACAGCAGAAAACTGAGCGAGGGATCATATCTAGCCTGAACCCTGCATTCCAGAATCTGAGCAACTGAAGTTTGTGCAATAAATGGCACAAGTTTCAAACCAGGCAAATACAATCATGCTGTAATGCCATGGGCGACTGCTATGCTGCTCTGAGCACTAACTACATATAAAGTTATGCAACTAGCTAATTTGCCATTTACCTTCTCAGGTGCAGTGATTTGCAGGATATTTTTAGCTACTGCATATCATTCATTTGATTCTCTTAAGTAGCACTACTGCAAATCTCAAACTTAGGGAGAAACTAGGTTGAATAATACCACACATGCAAAATACCTTCCATCAGAGAATAACCAACATTTGTAATTATCTAGGGTAAGGTTTTCAGGCTTGACGCAACATTTTCACTCCAAGCAAACAAGATACCACTTCGTCATAGGCCCTTCGCAAAAATATAGATTGCTTTTACCTTACTGACGAGGATATCTGTTGCTTCAAAATGTCGTCCATACATTTTGGGCGATTCACCAGGAATAGGTTCTATTTTAACACATACTTCTTGGCCTTTTTTTGCAACATCCACTGGCTTATGGTTTATTTCAATACTTGTAACTATTCCAATTTCAACAAACTGTAATACAATGAAGCAGCTGTAATACACATAAGCAAAACCTGTGTGCACACACTCTTCTTTAAGTTCCTCTCTATATACACAACTTGTTCATATGAAGTAATGTACTATCAGAGCAGGAAGTGGCATAGCAATGCATATTGCAAGTGTATCATACCAAAAAGGGCGATGATATCAACTTATAGTTCATCCAAGACACCAATTTGTTGCATTTTAAAATATCAGGAGTTGACTGTCCCTTGTATCAGTTACCAAGAGTGGCAATTTTGCTCATTACTTTGCATCCCCAATACAGAAATTGCAGCTGGGGAAGAGAGGGAGGTTGACCAACACTTCCATCCTCCAGCCATGCTTCTTGGTACAGCGCTGCAGAACTTGTGCAGAACTCCCTGCACCTCTGCTAGAGGTTAAAGCTATATTCCAGCAGATAAAACCTATTTTAAAGTGACTAATCCCTGAGAAAGAGACTTGACCTAAGACTGAATCTCATACAAGAATCCCAATAAGAGAGACACGTGGAGCTACTTGAGAGAGTCCAGCAAAGGGCTACTAAGATGATGAGGGGACTGGAGCATCTCTCCTATGAGGAAAGGCTGAGAGAGATGGGCCTGTTCAGCCTGGAGAAGAGAAGACTCGGGGGGGATCTGATCAACGTGTACAAGTATCTGAAGGGAGGGTGTCGAGAGGATGGGGCCAGACTCTTCTCTGTGGTGCCCAGCGACAGGACGAGAGGCAACGGGCACACACTGAAACACAAGAAGGTCTGTCTGAACACGAGGAAAAACTTCTTTCCTGTGAGGGTGACAGAGCACTAGACCAGGTCGCGCAGAGAGGTTGCGGAGTCTCCTTCCCTGGAGATATTCAAAAGCTGTCTGGACGCGATCCTGGGCAACGTACCCCAGGCAACTCTGCTTGAGCAGGGGGGTTGGACTAGATGATCTGCAGAGGTCCCTTCCAACCTCACCCATTCTGTGGTCTCCTGTACACTGGGGAAGCACATGCAAATGCCTCCTGATGTAGCACCCCAGCAACTACCGGTAGGTCAGAACAGCCATAGGCAAGATGCTCATACTTACGTTTTTGCTAGGTACACACATGGGAGTGCCCTGCTTCACCTGGCCTGCTTCCACAACCACACCCATAACTATTGGGTCACGGGAGTTGAAAATAAACTGAGGGAGTATTTTCATCTTGCAAGGAAATACTGCTATATGCCTGGGAGAGCACAAAGAAAAGGCATTTTGAAATAGATACTGGAACAGTGCACACAATATTAACAATTCTGCCTTCTCACACACATCTGGGGCATTTATTCTAGTAGTATCACTTGGGGAGAAAACATGCAGGAAATTTCAGTCTTGTTAATTCTAGTCAATACTTGATCTATAGGGAATAATAATCAACTATGGCTGGCATAAATGGTATTTTGACTGGCTTGGGCAGCCAACTAAGACCAAAAACGAAGGAGCAGTAATTAAAGTATATAATTATACTCTCAGAACAGCATGGGAATATAACTATTATTGCCACAACCCATCTCAGTGACTTAAAATTCAAGGTGTGGTGTGTGTGTTTTTAAAAAAAAAAAAAAATCTTAGCTATACAAACTCCATTTGGGATCAGAAGAAAGAACTTGTCTGAGAAATAGTGACCTGGGTTCCGGAAATTAAGTTTTAGATCCCTACAAATTCTTGATGATAGCATATTCACATTACTGCACTGTACACTGGAAGTACACAAATATGGAACAGCAGAACCTAAATACTTTCAGTTTTGTTTGCCTAACTCTGCAAGACTAACTCATCTGTCAAAACTAGGAAGAGAAACTAAATATACAAAGCAAACCTTAATAAGAACACTCCATATTATATGATAGTTTAAGCTAAACCTTATAATGTTTTTCACAACTTATACCCTAGTAAGCCTAACTCCACATGGCAACAATTAGACTGCGACTGCAGTTCCTGACAGTTATCAATTTATTGTCCTACTCTCATTCTCCTTTCCTTCCTCCCCCTTAGAACTACACGCTAAATAAAAATATGAAGACATGAAGTTAAACACAATTTCATTTAGTAATAAAACAATTAAGACGCAATTTGGGAAGCATCCAAAGGAGGATGACTCGCACTTACTTGAACTCCTCTTGTTTCTGTTTTTTATAGTCTTGTCTATATTTTGTGAAGGCATCAAATAAGTGATAAATTATTTCAGCACTAAAAATCCGGACTCCTAAGCTATCAGCCATTTCCTGTGCATCACGCTCAATCCTTACATCAAATGCCAGAATAACTGCATATCTGCATGTAAAAAGAAGTTAAGCAGTTCATTAGACAGACCATGAAACTAAAGCTAAGAAGGGAGTCTACTATGCATTTATCAACACAGCAAAGAAGTTACTTACTGAGGGTCATGCTCCAGCATAACTGATGCTTTCATAACATCTTTTTTATGGACAGGACCTATGTTAATTCCTGCATACTGCCGAAGAGGAAAGCCATACAAATCAGTCACTAATCATTCTGAATTAAAAGGAAACAGTTATAAACCAAAATGTAAAAACATCATCAGACACAGCATCAAGTACTTACTGGCACTTCTGATGTTTTAAGAAACTCAAGTAATGCTTCTAAAGAGCCTAAAGTAGAAGCCTGGACATAAACACCTTTCTCTTCTAATTTGATTGCATTCAGTGTTTGCTTCAGTTCATGTATTAATTCATCCTTTAGAAAGAAAAGCAAGTTTTAGTTCTACTGCTGTTATGCTACAGCAACGTACAAAGTTCCTCTGTTCATAAGCTGTTGAGATAAGTGATAGCCATACTGATAGGTACCAACTTACAAAATTGCAGTATGGTTCATAAGTAGCCCTGTGATGTACTGCTTCCTGTTTCTGACATTAGAAAAGCCTCTACTAACCTGAACTACCTGATGATTTTGCAAAAAGTTGATCCCATAACACAAAGCAGATGCCCATCTCTGAGGTACTAACATTTCTCTGCAGACTACAAATTGCTCTCTCCAGCACAGCAAGTTTTTACCAGTGAGGCTGACTGAATACAAGCAAAACGCAATGTGTGGCAGTATCTTTGGTTGCTTGACTGAAGCGCAACAGTAAGAGCAGATACTCCCAAATTTGTTAGCTGCAGAGGACCGAAAGCCTTTTATTCTGCAGTGCCTGGATACAAAACAAAAGGTACAAGAGCAACAAGGCCATCTTGCTGCTTTCAGAGAAGTTGAAAGTCCATTTCAGTCTATGCCTCTTAAAAACCCAGTCGGTGTTTTCTTTGGTTGGACATTCACCTTTACTTCACACACTAAAATGCCCACTGCTAGCCCATTTCACATACCTACACACGTGCACCCAGGCAAAGCCTGTACTTGGGGGACTTGAAAGATAAAACTTCTTTTAGAGAAAAAGGTAAGTAGACAATTCAGTGCTGCATGCTTAAAAGTGAATTAACACTAATTCAATAATGGTCATAATGATATGGAGTTTTTCCTATTTAAACTGACATTTTGACTTTGGCAAACAAACCAAAATTCAGATGAGATGCTCTTAAGACAGTTGCATTCTTTCTTATATCATTTTGATAGTCTAAGTCCCAAAAGAGATGTTACGTGTAGAGTCCTAAATCAGTTTTTCCAGTTCTGATAGTTTGAGGAACTCCACTAACGTATACTGGCCTAAAATTATTTCATCAAAATATATCAACTGCAACAAATACCAAATCAGTAATTAACATATATTCAAATTGCACTCTGATACTTGTTTTCAAGCTTTATTCCATAAGTACAGACAACCCAATAAGACATCAATAATAAGCTAAGAATCAAGATGTGTCACCGCACTAGCGCTTCATATGGACACAAAGCTACGGCATGTTATTTTAACAGTTTTTAAAACTGCAATAAGTTATTTGCATACTGAACGCTCACCATTTGAATGAACCTTGTCACCAGAGAACTTTATTACCCTCAGTTTAAGTGTCATATTTCAGCATTAGCCATCCCCATAATACTGACTGGAGTTCTACACACCAAGAAACACCTCACCTTCAGAACTGGGACTTCATCCTCTTTATATGCTACAAGCAACGGCAAACCAGCCAGTGTTTTTTCCAAATCCTTCCCAAGAATCTTCACACCCTGAGCAGCAACAACCTCTTTGTGCTTTTCATACTGGTTCTGAAAAGAAGAAGATACACTAGCTAAACGTTCATGTGGATGCTACACAGCAAAATAAAGCACTACTGAGTGGAGAACTTGCCCCCAAGTAAGCATGGCAGACAGTCTGACAGGGAAGCCCAGCAGGTCCCCTCCACCTTCAGTGATTTTCTCTACTCATCATTCCTGAATATGCATCTTTCAGTCTCTGTGCTTACCTCTTCTCCCTTCAGATGTACTTTTTTTTGGGGGGGGGAGAGAACGGGGACCAGGGAGAAGACAGGCAGCCTTCTCTAGAACTGAAAAGGAGGCCCAAAAGGGAGACATACTAGAAAACAGCAAGCAGTGATATAAGCAGCTGCTTACTAAAGAAAAAAATTCAGCCCCATACAGAAACAAGGGAAA